TTCAGAAATGAGCAGAGACTAAAGATTTATGAGCCAGTAGAATACTTATTAATAAAAAGCATATATGCATAAAGAAGTAATACTCATCAAAAACAAGCCCTTTCCTTAACAGGGATTTTTCACTTCTGTTGAACGAGGAACTCACTCAGAGACTAACGCAAAGGAAGTAATTTCTTATCTGGTCATTATTTAGTCTACAATAATTTCATCCTTCTTCAGCGTGACCAGTAAGTTCTTCCCATACTCTTGAACAGAGCATAATTGGAATGGAGAGGTGGGTAACATTTGCAAATTTTTTAAAGATGACAACTGGAAGAATTTTAACATTTTGAATGAATAGAAATCAATCTGATTAGCAGGCAGGAAGCTGTGACTTTTTAAATCTTGAGGTCTGATTACTTGATAACCCTGGTTTTCTTATAGCCTTTCACCCTTTCTATGCTCAGCACTTAATCTTCTAGGCAAAGCCTCTATCGGATTTCCTGGATTTCAGAGCTCTTACCCTACCTGAGCACGTCAGAGCGAATGCCATTTCTTATAAAAGGGGCTTAGCCCCAGACTTTGTGGCTAGTCTTGCAAAGTGGTATAATATTTCTTTCTGGTAGGTGAACTGTATCAACACATTCAAAAACAGATTTAAAAAGCCATTTCTATCTCTAAATATAAAAAGCTTTACCACTTATTAGGAAGATAGCATTTGACAACAATCTGAATTTCTTCAGATTGTTCTGATGGCTCACTTAATTCACCAAACTTTGGAAATCATCTTTGACTTCTGAAATGGTGAAAAACATTTCTATTTTTGCTAAAATGTTTTTGCCATAAAAAAATGAAGTGTCCCAAAAAGGAACTGTTAACATCTCAGCTATGCAAAATAATCACCAAATACATACTTTTGAATAAGATGACTTTGCATCATGGGAAAGTTTATTATTTAAGGAAGGAGCAAGATATATTTGGGGAAATTCCCATTAGCACAATTGAAGTATGAAGAATATACTGAGCTTCCATATATGGTGCTGGTCATTCCACATTTAGGTTACTCAAGCTATTTAAACGTGGCTTCATAAGCAAGTGCTACACCCTCACCATCTTTTTAGGTTTGCTGACATAATGATTTACTCCCAATTGGGTGCTGCCCGAGCCACTGTGCTTTGCCTCTGCAGCGTTTGAAGAGTGGATAGGTCGCAGCTGTGCAGTTCCCCCAGACACTTGAGTCCAAACTGTTGCTGGATTTTGCTTCTTTCTGTGCTCCATGGAAAGCTGGAAGCTCCTCAGCTTTCTCTTGGGTTTGGCTTCCTGTTCACATGTTTTCTGGCCCCATGTCAATTGTGTATGAAGTAATAGTCCCACATGCGTGCACCATCCACAATGGCAAGATTTGTGTGGTTCAGCACAAGTTTTCTAATGAGCACACTTTGGACCTTCCAACAACCCTTTAAGAAAAGCAGTTTGGAACCAGTTATTACTTTCCAAGGTGACAGGAGCAAAGAAAGAATGTTCTTTTTTTTTTTTTTTTTTTTGAGATAGAATCTTGCTCTGTCACCCAGGCTGGAGTGCCATGGCATAATCTTGGCTGACTGCAAGCTCCACCTCCTGGATTCAAGCAATTCTCCTGCCTCAGCCTCCTGAGTAGCTGGGATTACAGGTGCATGCCACCACGTCTGGCTAATTTTTGTATTTTTAGTAGAGACGGGGTTTCCCCATGTTGGTCAAGCTGGTCTCAAACTCCTGACCTCGTGATCCACCCACCTCGGCCTCCCAAAGTGCTGGGATTACAGGCGTGAGCCACGGCGCCCAGCCCAGAATGTTCTTAAGCAACAAGACTAAAGCCACTTTTAAGAGACAATTAAAGGACAACTGCATAGGAAAAATGAACATTTACCTTACACATCTGTCTAAATGTGTATATGTGTAAAGTATATAAAAATGCCTCCAATTCACAGTTTAAAAATATCAGTTACTGTTTCAGCATTTTGCTAGTGATGAATGGTGCTAGTGTTTCCACTAAGGACTGTTATTTTAATGACATTTCTCTGCAGTAAAATTTGATGAGTTTACAAAGTTTCAGAGCCAGGAAATGCAGCTTGGTTTCTGAACAACTGAGACAACCAAGAGAGTTAAGTTCAATCATCTAGTTGCTTTATAGCATGGATTCCTAAGTGCTAACTGCAGTAACACACTGACACAGAGAGTGAAGCCAAACCAAACTCTTAAAGTACAGCTGTTAAACTATCAAGCTTAACTTCCCGACATATTCTCAACAGGTGAAATTCTGGCACACACCCACACTTATTTGAAGATGGTAATGTCAAATGAATCGCCGTACGTGCCAACATTTTATAGAATTTTAGAGTAAGAAGAGATATTGGAGGTCTTCCAGTTTTACCTTATCCTTTCATTATAGGAACAGAAAAACTGAGACTCATGAGTGCTCTCTCTCTCTCTCTCTCTCTCTCTCTCTCTCTACACACACACACACACACACACACACACACACATCTGAGTTGTGCTGAGTCATTACTTACAGAAAACATCCTAAGTCTGACTTAAGCAACAGAAAGGGACGCAGTGACCCACAGCTAGGCCACTGGTTTCCTGGTCCTTTCAAGTTTGTGTGGCCAGCTTCAGCCCTGTGGACTGACAATTTGTTATTGCTTGAGAAAACATTCAGAGTCTTGGAGTCTATATTTTTAACCAAAACTTGAATAAACCCTAAAACAAACCAAGGATCCATCGGTGACTCAGATCCTGACTGTCCTTTACAGTGAGGCTTAGCCACCTTCCAATAGTTACTGGGGCCACACTGTGCTCCCATAAGATGGAGACGAAGCCCAAGACACAACCCTCGCTCTGAAGAATCCTGAAACCCGACCGGAGAGATGAGACCATCATGTATGCAGGCCATAGAGACGGTAGTGTGTGATCATAGTTCACTGCAGCCTCAAACGCCTGGGCTCAGGCAATCCTACCGCCTCAGCCTCCCAAGTAGCTGGAACTACAGGTGTGCACCACCTTGACCAGCTATTTTTAAAATTTTTTGGTTGAGATGGGGGTCCCACTGTGTTGCCCAGGCTGGTCTTGAACTCCTGGCCTCAAGCGATCCTCCCACCTCAGCCTCCCAAAGCGCTGGGATTACAGGCACAAGCCACCACACCTGACCTACACATTATCATTTTAATGATGAGAAATCAAAGTCTACATTTATAAAATTTAAGAAAACTCTGGTCTCATTTCATGAAAATGTCTTTTGATTGCAAATATGCAAGGAAGGTTGTATCTTTATTACTTTATTACTAAAAAAAAATCAATCCAAGTAATAATGATTGCCGATCTTTATTGAACCCATATTTTGTTCTAGGTAGTCTTCTAAGTTTTTCACATGAACGTTTTCACGTTATCCTCACATCAACCCTATGGGGTAGATAACATTTTAAATTCCCATTTCTCAGAGGAGAATACTGAGGCATAGAGAAATTAAGTAATGTGCTCAAGGCCACACAGCCAGTGAATGCCGTAGCCTGGTATTCCGGCATCTCATTCCAGACTCGGCTGCCTGGTAGTATATTCAGAACAGTCTCAGAAAAGGTATTCTTTTGACATCAGACTGTGCCAGCCTAACCACAGCCAGATACTTTTGACATCACATTTAGATGTAAACTTTCACTGTAGGAGATCATGAGTTGCACATACGATTATAAGCACAAACATGTATGTGTCCTCTCAGAACATATTTTACAAGTGGGCATCTGCATGATGCTTCTAATAATTTGTGATATCAGCACCATGGAGACAGGATGGAAAAGTTCTCCTGGAACTCCCCAACCCCCAGGAGGAGAAGCACAGTGAAGGGAGTGATCTAGAGGCCTAATGGGTGAGGTGGGCCACATTGCAGAGGGTGGCATAAAACTAGCAGTGGCGGAGTTTCACTCCAGTGGAAAGAGGGGTGATGAGAGTGGGAAGAGGGGTGATGAGAGTGGTGTGGGAGGAAAGTGAATCCTGCAGCACCAGGCCAGCTCCAAGGAGTTGCTGCTGCAGCAATTTTGTGGTAAGAATGGTCTATCGAGAGCAAAGCAAAGGACCTGGGGCTTAACCTGACTCACCAAGGCCAGCTCAGGATAAAAAGAGATTCCAGGCCAATGGAGGGAAAAAATCTGCGCCCATTACCTCTGAGATCCCCCCATGTGTATACCAAGGTACAATTGTATTCACCAGTGGAAAAGTATGAAAACTCTAAATGAAATGCTTTATTAAACATTAATATTTACATGGGCATGAGAAATATTTTTAAATGTAAAGGAAATTCTAAGTTAAATAAGATGTCTCATTTCCCTATTCTATCTTATCTTATGTTCTCTTTTATATCATATACACATTTATACACAGTGTGTATGTGTCAGAATGTTCATGGCAGCAAGATTGCTTTGTCTGATACTTAAAACATTAAATGAGGGTTTCCTCTTATTCGAAGTGTTCAACTTTATTTTAATCGCTTACATTTTTCGGCTGTCAAAAATGTGGAATATAAACAAATTTAACCACTTGGAAATTCTTACTTTGCTGCTCATCAAATAATAGCTTGCTGCAACTTTAAAAGATTCTATGATTCAGCGCATTTTCCTTTAAAATAGGTCTCCCAACCTGAAATTAGACAGCACTCAACCTTTAAACTTGGAACACTTTGTAAACTTTTAAAAAGAAACTCTTCTTTAATGGTTCTATGAAATCCAGTCAAAGAATGATATGAAATGAATCTAATGGAAAGTCTTTTCTTTGTTGGAGAAGCGGTCAAAATAGAAACTTCTACAAAAGGACCGAATCACCCACAATGCTTCAAAGACTCTTGCGAGTGATTGTAAGAAAATCGGTCTGGATGAAATTCAGAGAATATTATTCCTAATGATCACCCCCTTCGAGGCCGTGAAAGGGCAACATCTGAAAGATGAGAGGAATTGCTGATAAAACGTAACTCACGGCACTTTTGCTCTTCTCCATCATAGGTGCTGACGGCCACCCACCATCATCTAAAGAAGATAAACTTGGCAAATGACATGCGGGTTCTTCAAGGCAGAATAATTGCAGAAAATCTTCAAAGGTACTCATCAAATTTTTATCTCTAGCTTAAACCAAGGGCCACCTGGGCACTCTATGTCACTTGAAGAGGGGAACATTTCACGGATGGGGAATTGTTAAGAACTGGCAGAAACTGAAAAGTCAATGGTCCTCTACCTTCCCATCACATTCTCATTCTTGTTGGCTGAGGAAGCTAAAAGGGGCCTTCCACGTGGCAGAGCCATGTCATGAAATCAGTCCTAAGAAATGTCAGAAGAACCATCTGTAAAATGGGAATCTAAACAATCATATGACTATTGACATATTATTAGCTGCTCAGGAAGGAAGCTCGGGGGAATTAGGGGTCAGTGTGTTTGGCCCATCATCCACAACGTACTCCACAATGTCAGGAGTGAAAACTGTACCTGATTTATTCACAGCTTGTCTTCACAGTTTCTTTCCTTGGCCAGATAAACATTAGTGCCAAGAGCTTTCATGGAGCCAGGGAACATTGTGGCAACCCATCTCAGCAATTTCACCTTGGTGGCAAAAACATTTTTAGGGGTTAGGTTCGTATGAGGGTACAACCCCATAAGCCTTTTTCAAACGTCAACTTTGAGAGTTGCTCCCCTTTGCCCCAACCAAACTAATGCAAGTAAAACATTTAGTTCCTCTTGATTTCATTAGTCACTCTTCACAATCATTGCTACTTGCTTGATTTTTTTTTTCTTTTCTTCTCTCTCTCTCTCTCTCTCTCTTTTTTTTTTTTTTTTTTTTTTTTTTTTTTAGAGGAAGTCTCCCTCTGTTACCCAGGTTGAAGTGTAGTGGCATGATCTCGGCTCACTGAAACCTGCACTTCCTGGGTTCAAGCCATTCTCCTGCCTCAGCCTCCCAAGTAGCTGGGATTACAGGCACCTGCCACCGCACCCAGCTAATTTTTGTATTTTAGCAAAGATGGGGTTTCACCATGTTGGCCAGGCTGGTCTTGAACTCCTAACCTAAAGTGATCCGCCTACCTCAGCCTCCTAAAGTGCTGGGATTACAGGCGTGAGCCACCGTGACCAGCCTGCTTGATTTTTATTCTAAGCCTTCTGTTGGCCCAAGTTGGCTTGAAATAAGTCCTGTAATCACCAAAACGTTCGTGAACCTCACCCAAAAAGCAATGTCTTCAAGTCTGGCCTGAATTTCAGGTTTGCCTTGGAGGGTTGTTTTATCCAGCTTCTCTTTATAATACTTATGGAATTAAACATTTTTGTCTTCATTCTACAAGTTATATGTGAAGAAAGTGAATGGTTCAAAGTGTATGGGAGATAGGTTAGTTCTTTGACATAAAGTTACAAGCATTAGCAGTTTTTCTAGAATTCTTGGAGCTTTGTCTGAAGATGGCATGGGGTATTAACCCCAATGGCTGATTACAACACTGTATCAGATGCTTGTCATAAACGAGCTGAATCCACAGTAAGAGAAGATAAGTGTAAATCCAGGTCTCCTTACTTCAAAGCTCTAACATGAGAAGAAAATATTCTAAAACAGAAACTTCAAAAGATAAATGTTTAATAATTCAATGAATGAGTTCATTGAATAAGTAATAAGTTCAACGAATATAACTGGAACTTCTCAAGAGTTATTTATCTTCTTGAATCAGCTTGTGAACATTTTCTTTGTGAAACTCTAGCCTGATGCATCAACTTTTATGTTGGAAAAACCGAGGTTGGCCTTCGGTGCCATGCCATTCAAAATTAACTGTAGAAGAGACTGGAAAACCCCTGATACTACAAGAGCACTCTTCCTTTCCGAAGAGGTCCCTGAGGACCTGATTTCTCAAAGTATCTTTCTTAGTTTCTCTTGTGCCATGAAAAGGCCATTCCCCCCCACCACTCCCACCCCCGAAACGGAATCTTCCTCTGTCTCCAGACTGGAATGCAGTGGCAAGATCTTGGCTCACTGCAACCTCCAACTCCCGGATTCAAGCGATTCTCCTGCCTTAGCCTCCCGAGTAACTGGAACTACAGGCATGCGCCACCATGCCTGGCTATTTTTGTAATTTTAGTAGAGACAGGATTTCACCATGATGGCCAGGGTGGTCTTGATCTCTTGACTTCGTGATCTGCCAGCCTTGGCCTCCCAAAGTGCGGGATTACAGGCATGAGCCACTGCACCCATGAAAAGGCCACTTTTCTACAATGCCATGTTGTTTATTAACTAGCTGGTAATCTTTCATGTTGCACTTTTCTCCCCCTAATGTGTGATTTCACTGCTGTTACGTGTTTTTCACTTCTCAGCACATCTTTATTATGGGAAAACACAAATAAGTGTCTAGACTGGGCACGGTGGCTCATGCCTATAGTCCCAGCATTTTGGGAGGCCGAGGTGGGTGGATCACCTGAGGTCAGGAGTTCAAGACCAGCCTGGCCAACATGGTGAAACCCCATCTCTACTAAAAATACAAAAAATTAGCCAGGCGTGGTGGGGCGCACCTCTAATCCCAGTTTATGAAGAGGCTAAGGCAGGAGAATTGTTTGAACCTAGGAGGTGGAGGTTGCAGTGAGCTGAGATCATGCCATTGCACTCCAGCCTGGGCCACAGAGCAAGACTCCATCTCTAAATAAATAAATAAGTAAATAAATAAGTAAATAAATAAATAAAATAAGTGTCTAATGTTGGATCATTTAGATTCACTTGCTCAAATTTAACATACACAATACTTTTCTTGAAAATCTGTGGATTCTGTATGAGACCTGGTTTCAATCTCCTTTTTTTTTTATCTTGAGGCTGGAAAATTCAAATTTAATGTTTGGCTTCAGAGATCTCTGCCCCTTCTCATCCAACTCGAGGATTTGAGCTGAATTAGATAAGCAGCCGAGCCACTTCCCATCACTACCTCTGTATTTGTATATCCACAATCCTCCTTCTAGTCAATTTTATGGAAAGAAATGGATTTTTTTGTGTATGTGTTTGGACAGTCACGTTTATAAAATAGGGACCACTGTACTGGACCTTACAGTTTCAGAATGCCACCCTGTGCATTTTTGATTGCCTCTCTACTCATGTCATTTGGGTATAAAGTTCTTTCATTTAATATTCAGAACTGCTTACCTGTAGCTCATTGAACTTGGCATAACCTCTAAAATACATAACCCAAGAGAAAGTACAAGGAGATATTATAAGCAAATCTCAGAAGCTGCCCAAGCATTTCCTATCTTTCAGATTGCCAGATTATCTCTTGTTCCAAGGAGAGAGAGGTTGTATTCACATATGAGAAGACACCAAAAGGACAATTAAATCTCACAGCTTGGGGGAGATTTTGAGGGTTCTTATCAAAAATGCTCACACCTGTGGAACAGATTGCTTTTGTGTCTGTGTGTGAAGCCTGGTTTTCAGCTTAAAATACACCTGCCAAAATATGAACGGCCTTTATTGTACCTTCTGGACAATAATATTGCACTGTTGGATGAGGTTTGGTTCACACAGATGGGATAACTTAGAACAGCAACTATGTTGTTTGTGAGAAAATTAAGACTTTACCCAGCCTTGTTAATGCCTATTTGGGATGGAAAATTTTATAATAAGGATGTCTTAGCGGTGCCTGGCACTTTATTTTTAATATTATTTTAATTTTTAAGTTAAATTTAGTATATTAATTTAAATCTAGGTGGTTTTTAAAATGGCCCATAGACTATAACAGTAAACTAAACCTTTTCAAGGAATCAATATCAGATGTGGACCCTAAATTTATCCTTGTCTTGCTTTAAGTGCATGTTGGATACCAAGACAATGATAATTTGTCTTGCTGCAGAATATAGAGACCTATATTTGGGGATCCTAAAAAGTAGACTCTTTTCCTTTGTGATAACCCTTAGATATTTTGAAACATTTCTCATTGAAGAGGACAATTTATTACACAGAATATCAACTCATTTAAAATTTGTTGTAAAAACTATATGACAGTTGCTTTAGGAGTTTTTTTTTTTTTTTTTAATCACACACTTAACCCAAACCAACTTGTCTTTTCTGTATGAATATATACTAAGTGGAATCATAGAAAATTGCTTCTATTTAACTATTGTTGACCTACAAAAGCAGTAATTTCATAGCGTACTATCTAATATTTTACAAAATTGGAAGCACGGAGAATGTACAATGTTTATTGTTTTGTTTTCACCTACCTTTGTATCAAAACAGTTCATACAGTTTCTGCATTGTCTTTTTAGTTCTTTTAAATTTGTGTATTGTGTTCCATTACATGGATGTGGGACATATAAGCTGCTCATGCTTTTTCTGTATAAGAGAGATAACACTAAACACACACACACACACACACACACAATCAATACCTTCCTTCGTATAACCATTCTGTTTAGTTGCATTTTAATGATGGTTTTTAAATTGTCTTCTCCTGCACCATCCTTTTATCTCTTTGAGACTAATCACTTTCAGATGTGAGACTTCAATACAAATCTAAGTGATAAGCAAATGTTAGTATGTACAAGCACACACATTTGCACCCATGTATGTACATAGCTAAATGGATCTGCTTAGACCACAGTCCTCAAAGCCAGTGAGCTTGTGTTTAAAGAAAATGCCAAACTCCAATTGGAGGAGAAATATTGTGCCCATCAGGCTGTGCCATCTTTTGCAGGCTCCTCTCTCTTCCTTTCTGACTGAGACCTGTCCCAGCAGATGGCTCTGTCAGTATGCTTTGGCTGCCAATAAAATTGTGCTTTGCCTGATATGGCGAGGAAGCAAACTCCAGAGATGTTGACCGACCCAAGGAAAACCCTTTGCTCTTGCTATAATGATACATTCAGGCAGGAAGTAAAGAGACAAATAGCTCTTCCCCTGGCAAGGAAAGGAGTTTAATTATGATGAGGGTGGGGACTGGGGGACATTCACAAGTGGATATTAAGGAAAAAGAATGGGGTGATGTCAGTCTTTACTGAGACAGTCACTGAAATGAAATCAGGTCACACAACAATGGTCTTGTTCTATGCCCAAAAGCGCAAGTTGGTATGAGACATTACTTTGCCATGATGCTCTCAGGAA